GACGCAGTTTTTTCTCCGTTAGAGCTAGTTCCCTTGTCGAATTTACACCATCCGTATCAAAAAGGCCAACAGAGCAACTTGATATCAGTTGTTTTAGTGTGCTTGCGGTGCGCATAAACTGTATGGTTGCCACGCAACTGACCATCACGGTCGAATGATTTCTGTTACTAAAATTACTCCAAATATTTATATTAATTAATTATGTTGTCTCTCGCCATGCGACATATCCATTCTTTACTGTCAAACTTAAGGAATCTAAGAGATAAATCGCCAATAGATAAGTCTTAATTTCTGTAACAGATTTCGTTTAAAAAATTTAGAGACAGTTTAGAGATGAAACATGTCAAGTGTAGCATTACCTTCCAGACATTTTTTCGCCACGAGGCCGTCGCAGATGTTTCATCATGTGCGGTCTTTAAAAGAAGTAAACACGGAACACATAAAACCTAGCCTGCAGAGACGGAATTTTGGCGAGCGAGTGCTCTGTATTTTCTTAGTGAAAATTATGGCAGCCGTCTTTGATTTTTACAGCAGCGTAAGGCTGGGGAGAGAAAGAAATTCGTGAATAAAATCCAACATGGCTGTTTGAGTAAACGTTCATGAGTTCGTAGAACTTGTGACGATAACTCGCCCTGATAAGACGCCTGCATCGCAAGCTCAGTTGCGCCAGACAATAACATTAAAAATAGCTTGCGTCGTTAACATTTTTTTCGAAAGAATCCCATTTGTCATATGACCAACAGTACAAATGATTTATTCTTTAGATCTTAAATTGTCTTTGAAAAAAAAAAAAAAAAAAAAAAAAAGAAAAAAAGAAAAAAAAAACAGACTTAAAAGATTATTAAATGAGTGGTACTTGTCGTAGTACTGGTAAAGCTGTTTATAGACTGCTTAGAAACGTAAAAGAACGGCGATTATAATAATTATATTTAAAATTTGCAAATATCATCGATGTCAAGAACTGGCAGTTCTTAACAAGAGGTTTTGAGTACCTTTTTGGAAACATTCCATTCTCATATGGTTTAAATCAAAACTGGATTCTTACGAAATTTGGGAAAAATCTTTGTCACTAGAAACATGATTAACTCAAAACTCACTGACTGCGAATCATTTCAAGAATGTCTCTGCCCTCGTTAGACACACAGGTATGGCCCACCGTTGTCTGAGTTATTGTTAACAATTATAAAAGATTTGCTAGAACCTTTTTTACACGTTCAAACGAACCATTCTTAATTGTGCAACTGTGTTTATAAGAGGAAAGGAAACGATACATGAAATTACGCCATGGTTTTACTAGATATCGTTTCAAAAGAAAAAGTCTTTGCCCTAGATACTGAGATTTATGGCAAATCACCGACAACTTGTTTTGAAACAACTCCACAATACAAATGAAATTGCGTCTCCAGTTAACATTTTGTATCTAGTTAGTTAGTGTTGCGTTCCTTAGCATGGCTAAGTGACTGAAATTTCCCTCGAGCTCTCCAGCCCGAGTTATCCTCTGAAACCCAATGACTTTAGATACGATATCACATTTCTTCGTTCAAAGCCCCTCTCCCTACAGTTTCAAACTTTCCGTCTCAAATCAATCGTCCTCCGTTTGAATGACTCCAACACTTATCTATTCCCAGCCTTCCTTCACCTCCCTCGTTGTTTTTCACTTTCTCGTTATAGGTAACTGGTGGAAAAAATAAGTAAAAATTAACTCGATGACATTTAACATTTTGAGAACATTAAGTAAATTCTACAGCAACAAACAAAATGATCAAGAACTAAAAACTAGAGTGCAGAGTGCTATTCGATTGAGTATCGTAGGACCGAAACCAAATTTACCAAAACGGCCCATCGGAGTTAAATGAAATATCTCAAGCGCAGAAAAGCACAAGCGACCAAGTTGTGATCGGTTTAACGTTTGAATCTGATTGGTTGAGAGAGTGGCTCGAGTCTTCTAGACCAATCACAGAGCGAAGCAGAGCAAAACCAATGCAGTCTTGGGTTACTTTCGACGATGAAATGGAAATTGCAAACGCCCCTAGTTCAGGGATACCATCAGCCATATCAAAGTACTGGGCGCCGCATTAGGGGCGGACCATCCTACTGTGCGGTAAAATTTTCGGCGTACCTAGCCACACCCTTAATGTGGCAAAGTTGACGCTAGATGTTAGCGCCTGTTGTCTTTGGTGCGATCATCTCGCAGGGATAACACCAAATACTTTTTGCTTTTCTTGCCTTTGGACGTCTGGATAATGAAATAAGGAAAAGCCAAATTAAAGAATGTTTCACACAAATGAAGCCCCACTTTCGAGAAGTCATGAACAGTCTAATATTCATAACGCCTAGAAATTTCAAGCTTCTTGGAAATTCCGAGCATGGACTATATGGTATTGACACGTAAATAAAGTTTCTGTTGATCCACAAAAGTTCACCCACTTAATAAGGATACTAACCTCTTTTCTTCTGAAGACTTATGTAAAGCGACGATTATTGCAGTTAAAAGCGCATCCCATATTCAAGTGTAAGAATTCACAAAGAAATAACAAATACAACAGATGCAACTCAATGAACCGTTGCAATCAAAATAACTGTTGGCTTTCCTTTGCAATCGTACGACTCCTTTATGACGTAACAATGCGCGCGCGTGTCAGTGACTTCAAGAGAATACTGATTGGCTGAAACTTTGTAATGTTTGACGTAGTAAAACAGCCGCGTATCGAGTGCACCAGTAACGATTTGTTTTGATTTTGCCTCTTACCATATAGGAGGGGCGCAAAACCTTTGGAGCTTAAATACAACAGAGACGACAATGTTATAAGAGAATCCAATATTTTAGGTAGTTCTCAACAGTTAAATCACGTTTCCCCTCAGGAGAGGCTTTGTGATAAAACCTAATCGCTCGGCGAAATGGAAACGGAAAGCAAAAGAATTGAAAACGCAAAGAACGTTAGGTAGGGTACTACCATAACAATTTTTATTGGGTTTAGGCCACTTCAACTTTCCTATAAGTGAATACAATAAACGAGATTTTGGACTGATCAGTCGTAACCAAGCAATCTGCTCAAACGGATCAGAGTCACTTTAATTACAACGAAAGATAAAATCTTGATTTGCCGATATCATTTCCAGCGAATAGGTCGAAAATGTGTGGAATCAACCATTCTTTATCAGGATACTGAAGCGATTTGAAATTTTCATCTCCTTCCATTCTTTCGGAGAAAAAAAAGATGAGCGAGAACCACAGTAAGACATACGAGAAGTTATCTTCATGAACATTGCTTCCATGGTAAAGTAATTCTAGCTTGGTCGTGAAAGCGAGGCAAACCTTCTTTACTTGGGATTGTCCGCTACCGCCACAAGAACTTTCGAAACAAAATGAGCAGCGATTTCGATTTTAGCTATCGCTTCTAGCGCAAAGTTGCAAGAAGCGAGTACATTTTAAAAGGTAAACAGAGAAACAATTCTGAAATTGCACAAACTTTCTTTTCCTTCCTTTTTTTTTCTTTTTTCTTGGCTTTACTTCGTTTTTCAATGAACTCAACAAACATAGCATA